CCTAGACAGCAAAGATCATTACAGAAAAATATGGTTTCATTTGATTATGGATGTTCTTGCAGAGTTTTGATTACTTTGCAGAATTTAAAAGAAGGTTGTGTGTCTGTCACAGTGTGTTATTGCATGGTTTGAAGAGACCTGTAGTAAAGACATCATTATTTTATTCTGTAGGTGGGGGAGGGATGATCAGTTATCATGGGATCTTATGTCTGTTAAGAGAATGATTTCCTAGATGATGATGGGCTTTGCCTGCAACCACAGTGTACATATTTACTATTATTATTATTATTATTATTACAGCTATTATTTATGGAAATAATTTATATGCAACTACACTTTCCTTAAATCTAACAAAACATCTATAAGAGGAGAAACCATTAAGGTGCAATATCTCTGTGTGGCAGACTGGCTTCTTTTACATATGGTTGTGAGAGGCTGACCCAGGGCTCATGAAAGCTAGCAATGAAAGCTGCCTGTAGCACTTGCTTTCATTGCTGTTTCCTCAAACCTCATAAAGCAAATGAACATTTGTGTTGCTGACTGCAACAGCCTGTACAGATGTCTGGCATCAGACATGATCCTGGTTCATCATGGCAAAGTCAACAAGAACATCTTGCATCAGTCTCTGTCCAGTGGGATTGTTAAATTGAGGATAACATGGCTTCCCCAAATGTGTGGAGGGGAGCTAAGCCTTGCCATACCTGATAAGGAGGGTGAGCTGTCAAGCCAAGTATCACATCTGAGGGTAAGCCAGAGACTTCAGAGATAGTTACAAGACAAAATTTCTTTACCCTTGTCCCTACAAACAGAAAGATCCATAGTGTCTTGAAGTGAGAAACTATTAAATAACTTGTCCATAATGGAAATTTCTTCCTAATTCTGTTAATAGCAGTTTTTCCCCTGAATTTTGAGCATTTTTTACATTCTTATTAAAAAGAAAGAGTCCACCTGTGGCTCTCAGCAATGCTGTGTGGCATTGCACTGCCTATATTTCAGAGTTACTCTCCTCCAACATGTTTGCTTTCTGTCCCTAAAGGTTGTTGCAGGAGGTTCTTGCCTCAAGGCCCCATATAAAGAACAGATGAGTTATTCTATGTCTTTGTGACTGTAGCATTTGTCTTGTGATGGGGTCTAGACACAAGATGCTCCTTTGAACCATGTTTTTGTCTCCTTCCTTCATTTCTTGATGGATGTTTCCAACTCTCCTGCTTTACCAATCTCATGTGCCAGTGTTTCCAAGACACTCTGGGTAGTAAGTGCTTTGCTGGAGAAATAGAGCAACACTGGGGCTAAAATTGTAGCAGTAACAAAGGAAAAACCAGTTTCGCAAATAAACAAGGGAGAGATGCAGACAGACTAGAACAATCTGTGGTTTTGAAATCTGTTAGGATGAAGCAAGCCACATTAATATGTCAGTGTGCAAAGATAATGAACACAAATCACAACAAAAATTTGTGCCTTACATGTTCATATTTCCCCCAATTACATACATTGCATAACCATCTTCATCACTACCATGTGGTGTGCTTGTGCCTCTTGTACACCTTGTGCTTAGTCCTTGCAGGACCAGGTGTGAGTGAACCGTAGGGAGGTGGGAATGGGGAGAGTGGCTCCCTTGCCCGGAGCCTCGTGATCCTCGCTGGGTGGCAATGTCTATGGGCTATGTCAAAACACCCTTCTGCATCGCCATCTATGTTTATTCCTGGTGAAGAGGATGAGTGTGTTTTTCTCACCTGTGACATTTTGAAGAAGTGTAATAAGTTTAGCCAGAGGGACACAGTTGGCTGGTGCAGGAGGATGCCAGCACTGTGTTGTGCAGTGTGTGAGCCTACCATGCTTTGGTAGCAGCTGGAGCTCTTTGGCACAATAAGATAGGCCAAAATAAAGCTGGTGGTGAGGCAAAGCTTGAGATCAATTTTCTTCTTTACTGCTTGAGTTCTGGTTTTAAGATCATTGAGCTATGTAAAGGCATGCTCCTTGCAAGTGCTGAATGTGCTTTGCAGTATGATTGCAGTCTCACTGTTAAACCATCTATTTTGCAGCAGCATCTGAGGCTCCAGGCTGTGAGAAACAGTTGTGCTAGCCAGTGAGCACATACAGGGAGAGTTGGTTTGCCGAAGTCCTGAAGAGCCAAGGACCGCATGCTAGATCTCTGTGGGTGCAGGGATCCTAACAGGCGAATCAACTGGGACCCACTTCCAAATGCAGTTGGGATTGGGTCCCGTTCCTGTTGATATCCATAGGATCTTAATTCAGTTCTCATGACAACAGGCTCTAGCCCTTTTTTGAGGTGGGGGCAACACAGAAATATATAATTCAAAACCGATCTATTAATAATGTATTAATGCATAAAATAGAAGCGTAAAGCTGTTTTCTCTATAAATGTTCTGCACTTCTGCTTGCTCCAGTGAGTGAATTTGTCTTTAAAGAACTGAAATGTAAACCATGTATAGGTCATAATTTCATAATTTTCAGCAACATTATTTTTTTACTGTCACTTACAAAAATACACATCTCTGGTTAAAAAAAAAAAAAACCAAACAACAAAGTTGGTATATTGTTATAAAAGAAATATTTGAGCATTCTGAAATATCCTGGCCAAGACTTGCCATAATCTAGACCTAGTGTAATCTTTTATAAATGCCTCTCTACAAATGTGCCTCTTCAAGTATCCCTGAGTATATTATTTAAATCCTAAAGGAACTTTAGAAAGTGTGTGCAGGAATGGAAATCCTTTTAAATTATAGTCTTTTGTATGGGAAGCTTTCTGAAGAGGAAGGTCTGATCCAGCCGCACAGAAAGTTGGCAGGGTTTTTGCTGTATGAGGCACTTGATGGTAGACAGAAAATTCCATCACTGATATCTGACTCTGCCCTCAGAAATCAATGCAGCTGTGTTGGCTTTCTGTGGGAAAACAGGAATGGAAGTGGGAGAGCGGGCACAATCCCATGATGTCTCATGGGAATAACCTGGAGGCAAATCTGGGCCTTGCTTTACTCAAGTGTAAATGCCCACTACTGTAGCTCAAGCAAAGCAAATTTAATTTATTGTTCAGAACAAAACCCTTCAGGACCAGATCCTGAAAATATTCAGGTCTAGCTTTGATGTGAGTAGCCCTGTTGATTTCACATGAATTTGGTGATGTAACATTAAGCATTTTTTTTTAGTTCTCGATGCAGGTTCTTTCCTTCAGCCACTGCTGCCACTGGGGGAGTTTATAATTTGGATATTACTAGAAATATGATCTCCTTAAGATTTAAATTTTATGGACATGTTAATTGAATTAAAAGATTAATATACAGTGTAAGGGACCAAAGACATAGGTGATTAATCCTGAGAAATAAACCATGGTTGAGTCACATAGAAGCACTATTGAGTAAAAAATCCCCAGCACTGAAGGACCTTTGACAATAAATCTTGTTTTTCCCCTGGCAATCCTGTCAGCTATGGCTGTCAACAGTAAAAAGATGAAAACAAATAAATTGGAGGCCATAAGTCATAGGACCAGAATATAAATACATATGACACAGAAAGGAGTAAATAATGCTGACACTTTCTTTAGAAATGTTCTCAGGCAATACTTCCTGTTCATGTCCTACTGAAATGACATGAAATAAAACTTTATGGGAAGAAGTGTTGTTAATCATACAGGTTCTTGAGGGACATGACTATCTGTGTGTTGAGAGGCCCATCCTTTACTGGGCTGCTGTTTAGTGCCTTGCAACAGCAATGCAAATATAAATAAAAGTTTGGTATTTTATGCATCGGAGCGTAGAAGAAATGTGTTTAACCATTGCTGTGTAAAAGAAGAGTTATGTATTTTTCACTGCAGGTCAAGCAGTACCCTATGGAGCTGGAAATCTGGATGTGAACAGCACTGCCAGAATACGCAGGGAGCAGGCAAGGACAGGGCTATGAAGGAGCCCCACACTCCTGCAGGCATCTCCATGGGACTACGAGTCCCACGCCTGAGCAAAGGCTACTCACACCTGGGTCTGGCCTGAAAGGGCAAATCCCACTGCTCTGGGAAAGCAGAAAGCCTCAAATTAATGAGAAGCCTAAGAAAACCCCAAAGTAAAATAAAGGGGGGAAAAAATACAGATTCTTGCTGTAGTCAGTGAGAATTTAATAGCTGTCATTTAGAATCAAGATGCTCCTAGCACAGGTCCGAAGGCTTGCTCCCAGACCAATGTGAAGACAAGCCTTAACACCTTTGAAAGTATGTTGGCTGATCTCAGCTGAGGTCCCCACTAAGACTCATCACACCTGGACCTTTTTAAAAAGATGTATATGACATGGCATTTAGAAATGCATGCATGCCATTGACTCACCTGTTTTTCCAAGGCAACCCAAACATGCATGGATTCCTCCAAGCACAGCTCCAGCTGCCAATAATGCCTTGTCCTTCTGTGGGCACAGTGAGGACTCCTGTCATTCCCTGATCCAGCTCTGGCAGCCCCACGGGAAGGTACCCACTCTAGGAAAGGTTGAAAGCCTATGCTATAAACTGTGCTGCTTCTTATCCAGTGACAGCTATGGTTACCAATTTACAGCCTGCACTGGTGACATAAAAGCCCTGTCAGGACACAGTGATACATAGGATGGTGGTCTTTGGTCTTGCAAGCCCAACTTCATAAGCCTTCTGCTCCTTTTTGATAGTTAGTTACATGGACAAAAACTAGAAACACATCCTAGAGGCTATTGTTGGAATGTGTCTTTGTAGGTGTGCTTCAAAAAATCCTGCAGAGTAAGTTTTTTTTCCCTTGGTTTCTGTAAAGTGAAGGTTAAAGCTCTTTCCTTCTCACAAGTGCATCCACACATGTGAGGCTTTTACATGCATGGCTGCAGTCCCTACTTAGATGACTTCACTTACACACCGCTCCTTGAGTTACAGGCCTGCTAACACAGAAAGGTGTTTTCACTTGGAAAAAAAAATATTTTTGTCCTTTTTTTTTTTTTTTTTTTTAGCTTTGACGAATTTTACAACTCTTTCCTTGCAGGTCTGTGTGGTGTCCTTAGTGGCATTTGTTATGCTTTGTATTTCTTACCAACCTGATGAGAAGACGTGTGTGCAGTTCACAGTAAAGGTACCTTGACCTTTTTAAAATTTCTTTTTCTTCTCATGTTGTTAAATATAATCAGAAAAGTTGATACTGGAGATATTTTAAGACCATGTGAAAAGAAGTGAAAATGCACCTGAAATGCAAGAATGGTTTTCTGGTATTTTCTAGGCAGCTAAGGAAGAAATGGTAGCCTATAAAGGAGAAATTCTAATGACAAATATTTCAAATCAGAACAAGATACTATTTATTTGCCATGTTTTAAGAATATCAAAGAGATTCAGATAAACAAAGGTGGAATAATTTGGGAAGTGTTTAGTGAAAGATTGAGGGTTACTGATTAAGTAGAGATATTCATAGAGAACTGCATAAGAAGTAGGGTGGCATAAAATAGGTCCACTTAAATCAAGTTTTAATTTTTAATGTGTTCTAAGAAGCATCTCAGCATCTTCCCAGCAGTTTTGCTCCTTACCATGAAATAAGAAACTGCATGGGCACAGGCATATTTAAAAGTGGCTGGAAATGTCTACCTGCCTGCCTTCACAGTCAGGGAGAGAGAGGCCATACCTGAGCAGCCGTGTCTCAGCACATGGTGCCTTGTGTTGGGGTCGGGCATTAGCAAACATGGGAAAGTGTTAGCAAACTGTGGGGACAAATATTGATCCACAAAGAGATTCCTCTGCAAACATCTTGTGAGAATAATAAGCTATTTGGAAATTGCCTTATGTCCCCACGCATCTCTGTTCACCTCTGAAGAGCTGTAAGAGCTGCCTGTGTATTTGGATTCTGAGACTTCCTTCCCTTTAGGTATACAACAGGCAAACTCTTGCTTACTGTATTTGGAGTGTAGCTTCAGTTGTGGATTTCATGTTATTTTGTCCTGACTTTGGATAGAAGTTGGCAGGTAAATAAAATACCTGACAAAGGAGAATCAGGCACATCATGTAGTCTTGGCTTAATAGATCATTTATTAGGGATGCCTGATTCTCTCTTCTGCTGGTCTGAATTCTGGGACTTTCAGCCAGTCCACTAGGACTTCTACATCACAGAAAAATTTTCATCCCTCAGAGAAGAGGAACAGTCACCAATGTTTGTCCATTTTCCATTTTCCCCATCAAATACATTTGCACCATCTTTTGGTAATGCCATTGTAATGCCATTGGCTTATGAATTACTGCATCTTTGGAGAGGGTCCATTGGTCAGTAGCACTCTGGTTTCTGTGCACTTTATATAAGGAGGTGTTTCGATTTTCCAACTTCACCTTTCCTATGGACATTTACCTTGAAAACTGCAGGGGTAAAGTAATTGCATTTAATAAGACCCACCCTCATTTTGAAGCTGCCCTTGGTTTAAGGCTTCAGGGGAAGTAATTAAATTTAATAGTAGCCAAGTCTTGGAAACAAAGATCTTGCTGTAAGAATTTGGTGATATGGGGGAGAAACTGTATATAGTGTTTTAAGATCTGCAATAAGCCCAAATATTTATTTTTTTCAAGCTGGCAACTGAATGGGAAGATTGATCCACACTGTAGATATAAGACAAATATACCAGGAGTGTGAATTTTATCAAGACATACACACTTGGAGTTTCAAGGTCATAAATAGCACTTTCATATTGATAGTTTGTTTGCAGTATTGAGGTTAAAAGAGAGAGAAAGGGAGAAGCCGCCGTTTAAAATAACAGATTCCCATCCATGCCATGTGACTGACAGATAAGGTGCCAAGAAAAAGAAATGTTTTTACAGTACTGAACAGAATGAAAAATGCTATTTTGGCTAAACAGAGAATATGATTTTAATATAAATTCACACACATTTTGTATGCAGCACAGCAACTGCCAGTTCCAGCTATCAAAATCAAGGGAGGTCCATATGGTTTGGTATCCAAAGGTCTCAGGTGCAATCTGGAGTGACAAAGGCTCTGAGTTGCTGCCAGTTTCCATGCATTTGTGGGGGTGGACTCTGCAGAGCTACCCTTGATAAAAGCCACCCTATTTTATAGCTGCCACTGGTGTAAGGAGTAGTGGGGTGACAAGCAGATCCTTGTCTTTCTCATGTCATAGCACTGGGAAATGAAAGGCACTTGCTGCTTTTTCACACCTTTGAAAGACTTCTGCACGTTTATGGGACAAGTTTTTAAAGGAGATTGAGCATAGGATGTACTTTCTCATGGAGATCTGCATTCCTGCTCCACAGTAGGACCTGGGAGGCTGGCTGTATTAGGGCCACAAGTGGGAGATCAGCCACCTCACTGCCTGATTTGCAAGTATAAATCAGATTTGTTTGGGTATGCAAACTAAGAGTCGGAAATAACACATGAACAAAGTTTCAAAACCACCTACTTCTCGGCACAGCCTGGGATAAAATGTCAGCCGAAGACTCAGTCTGCTCATCTTTGCTTCAATTTATCTCATCTGATGACTGTAAGTTTAACCAATGCAAGTACGACAGTAGAGGAAGATGCTTCCTCCCTCCCTATAAAGCTTCTGACTGTATAGAGACACAGATTTCTTGGCGCTCTCATCAGGTTTTAAAATTGCAAGACAATACTCACATAAAATATGCAAGGCAGAATAGCTAGTTCTTGAGATGACCTACTGAACTTTGCATCACCAGGGAGTTATAGCTGTCTTGTAATCTTTGAAGCACACTATGTCCAGATAGTACATTGAATGCATGTGAAGTACGTGTGCATGCATTTGTTCTGTGTTCCTCACTCTCTGTGTAGCTGGAAAAAGAGTGTTTTTTCTTTTTTCCTGCCTTTCAGCTGATGTATTTTCTCCTGAGCGCCCTGGGTCTGGTTGCCTGTGTTTTGGCAGTGGCTTTTGCTGCACACCATTATTTGCAGATGACAAAATTTACCTGCAATACCATCCTTAAGTCCTGCCAGTGCCGACTGGACACAGCAGACCCCCTCAGCAGGACCTTCATCTACGAGGACGCAGCTGACTGTGACAGCCTCACCAGCATGCTCAACCTGTACTTACTCCTGCAGATGGTTCTCAACCTGATCGCAGCCCTGGTGTGTCTATCATCATGCTTTGTGATGTGGAAACACAGATACCAGGTCTTCTATGTGGGTGTTCGGTTCTACCCTTTAACTGCTACTGAAGGCCAGTGACAGAAAGTATGGGGTCTGGGCTGGCAGAGGGTTGTTGTCAGGGAATGGAAAATATCAGTGCTGCCACCATAGACACCATGGATGGATAGATGTTTATAAGGTTTTTGACAAGGGAAGACATTCACACAGTTTTAATGGAATGTATTTTTCAACCATTTTAAAAGCATTTCATGTGGCTGCTCTTGAAAAAGGTCTCTTGTGAGATTATGTAGAGGTCACAGACTCCTAAAGATGCAGCTGTACAAATATGCACCAAAGATCTTTAATAGCCATAGACAAAATGAGAACTTAAAAAAACATTTGGGAACTCATCTGCAGGGCTACAGCCATTAAGAAATAGGGTCTGTTTCCATTGCTGATAGATATCTGTTCTTGCCTTCAGAGAAGCTATATCAATTTCTACCAGATAAGGATCTGGTCCAAACTGCTTAATTATAATTATTCTGATCATGCTTAGGGAATATATTGTCTCTTGGATGCTCTGGGTATAATCGCTGCTAAACTGATGGGGATTTACCATACGGAAAAATAATACGTAAGGTCAAGACCTCTTCAAATGCAGGTTGAGACCAACAGCAAAGTGAACATATTGATGACTGTCATATAAAATATACATAAGATTTTTCAGAGAGACTATTGATATAGGTTACCTAATCCAGTTGTTCATAAACAACAATATGAGTGGGTTGACTAATGGTGATTTGGTGGGCCCTGCTTGAGACCCCAGACAGATTTCTGAAGTATGAGTGCTCGGCACTTTGTGAGAAGAGATGAATTTAAGAAACCTTGAGTTGCACTTCTGAAGTGGAAGATCCTAAATCACTAGACACGTTGAAAATTATGTTGACATTGCTGTAATTGCAGACTCCCAAACTTGGCGTCTAGCCAGTTCCACCAATTATACTCTAAGCACAAAAGGCCAAATGCATTTTTGGTGTAACTCCTCTGAAGACAATCAGTCTTATACACCAGCAGTGGAGCTGAGCCAACAGCCCTGAAAGATATATCCCTGCAACAGTGAATGTTTTTAAAATGGGGTGGAGAGAGGGAAACAAGATGAGACTGCCAGTCTCTCAAAGACATCGTTTATAATGATGAGGGAAAAAGAATAATGATTTCTTAACAAGCAGCACAGAATAACAAACTGCTTTCAAACCAAGCTTTTTCACCCTGAAAGTGTAGCCCTAGAAGTGGTTTACATCATATTAGCCTTATACCGAGAGAAGTATGTTGGGTTTGTCCCTTGAACTGTCATTTCCACTTGCACAGCATGGAATTCTAAATGCAGGAGCAATTCTGAATAGGCAGCATTTTGCACTGCCTGCCAATACAGATGGGTGCAAGGGCAAGGCAGCTGGTGCTCACACCCTGCCATGCCTACGGATTTCCTGATCCCAGACAGAGCGAGGGTGGCTCTAAGGTGGGGTGGAGCAATCACATGCCAGAAAAACTGTGGCATAATCATTAGCAAGAAGGAAGAAAATAAAATCTCTTTAAGGCTTCAAGGAAGCAAAACCGTTCTGTTTCTGCAGCAAAATTAGCCACCAGGAAGACAAAAAAACAGTCTGGCAAAATGCTAGTTATCTAAGTAGGTCTACTCCTACCCAAAAACTGTCTTCCATGTGGTGATCACACATCAACCCAGGGCTCACCCTGGCATACCTCTGGGGTCAGAAGATGACAGCATATTTAAGTCTCCTGTGGTGCATCTAAAGCACTGCTTGGTGTACGTGCTCAAGTTTTTGTCATGGAAAGTTCTTCTAGAGTAGACGTAGTATCACCAAGGTGCTATCTGCAAAACTGCAAAGTAAGGAGCTTCAGAAAATCAACATTTTTGAGACCAGCTTCCAAATGGCCTTTTTTATGCACCTAAAAATAACAGTCACTAGTAATCATGGCTGCAGGACTCATTTGCAAGGGTGTCCATTTGCTTGTTTGCTTGTTTACGTGTTGCCACACATCCAAAGTCCTAAGCCTGGCTCCCAGGCGTGCTCAGAGCAAGCTGAGACAGTAGTGGATTGTGTGGGCAGGTTGGCAATGTAAGACCTGGCTGCCAGCATCGGTGGGGCCGTCTGTGCAGTGGTGGGAACCAGCCCGTTTCCCCTGAATCTGGCAGAGCATGCTGCAAGCAGCGCCCCTGGACCTCTGCCAGGGCCAGCCTACTGTACGGGATGGATCCATAGGGGTGCCTCTCACCTGCTGCTTGTACTCAGATGTTGGTATGTCCCCCATCCGTCATGTGACTCCAGCTGTGCTTCCTGTGGAAACATAGGGTGGAGGATACACCTTCCTCCCATATACACAACACTTGCTGTGCCTGCTCCTCCCTCCTGCCAAAAATGTGGGCTCTCCTCTCCACAAAGAAGATACCAAGAAGCAGGAAAGGGACTAAGAGGAGGATGAATAACAGCTGAGCTTTGGGGCTCCCTCCTGCTCTCACCACTAGGCGTTGCGCCCCAATGGCTGGTGAAGCAAGAGGAAGGCTCCTCTGGTAGAGCAGGGCATGCCTCCCACCCTACCCTTTCCAAAGTGCCCTTGTTGTTCAGAAGATAACTTGATCTGTGCTGCATGCAGGCTGGCAGCAGCAAGCTGTTGTGGGAAACAGCTGGCTGGCCCTGGACAAGCGCCATTTTCACCAGAGCCAGGCTTTTGTCTCCTTAATCTTTTGACCACAGCCTCTACCACATATTTTCACTCCCTGTCTCCCATCACCTCCCAACTGCTGGGCTCCTGGAGGCCAGCCCCTGTTAGATTTGGTTGAGCTTGTGTTGCCTGGCCTCTGCCTACTCACCCCCGAGCTTAAATTTGCTCTAGAGCACAAAAGACGCAATGGTGATGATCACAGAGTCACTGCAAATGCCTTCAGTGCGGCGATGGGGAGAAGAGAGATGTGGATAAGAGATCCTGCTCCACTTAGCAAGCTGTGCACCTCCATAACAGCGCACTCTCTGCCTTGAGACACCGAGCCACCATTGCTCAAGTTTGGTTCACTAATCAGCACATTGCAGCTTAACCCTTTGCTTGTGAAGAAAGCGATATTCATTATATATTCTGTTGGTGTTTTAATGCTTAATGAATAACTATGGGGCATTTTGATCTAGTAAAGCCCAACTTCTGTATTTCTTCTTCATGTATCTCAAGAGCATGAAATCAAAACAGTAGAGATGGGGAAACTGACATGGTAGTGTTTGGAAACATTTTCCCCCTGGGTATGGTTTTACAACATATATTTTGCTTGGATCAAGAACTTTGGAAAGTACTAATTAAAGGATTTTCACCTACCACAGCATATTCAGACAGCTCGCAGCATTTTCCTGGTGTCAGAGTCCATAGGGACTGCACCAGGAGAAAGACAGGGATTAAAACACCCAGAAAGGACAGAGGTGTTGAAGAAAAAAATATTTTTTTGTTAAGTCCTGGAAATTTATTCTCTGGGTGAATTCTGCAGAAAGGGGTAAGATTAAACCACTATGGACACACAAAATTTGTGAAGGGCTAGATGTAATTTACTCTCACAAACACAGGTGCATTCTCATTTGCACCCTGGCAACTTTACACTGTTTTCCCAGTGTAAAGGGGTTGTAAAGATAGCATCAATCATTTTTGCACCTACTTTATGGCCATTTTACACTACTAAAAGGGCCCTTTGTGTAAATGAGAACTCAAGCTCTGGAGAATTTAATAGAGAGGAGATCCTTTCTATAGACTGTGCTAGACTCTCTAATAGGGTCTATTACTGGGTTATAACTCTCCTCTGTATTTTATATCTTGGCTTAAAGATCATTAGTCTCGATTAAATTCAGTTCTGCAAAACTTCCCCAAAGGCCATTCCCCCCACCCCCCAACCCCATGACATGCCTCCTCCACCCCAAGAACATTCAGGCTGTGATGGTGTTGCATGGAAAACTGCTTGGGTTTTTTTTGTTTTTTTTTTTTTTTTAAAGGAGAAGCTACAGCTACCATTCTCCTCTGGCTCTGAGGCATTTTGATCTTGTGCTATGCAAATACCAGAGCGACAATAATGGCAAAGAAAAGGGAACCGAGATGCGACGCCTTACACAGAGCCAAAATGTCACATTCGCAACCCCACCAAGCACTGAGGTGACACCCACTCCTGACAGGGAGCTGCACTTTGCACCCCTCTCCCTCCCTGGCTGTTGCTGGAAGCACAGGGGCCGGTGGGCAAAGGGTAAACACAGCCAGGTCCCAGCCCCATGCCAGGGCTGCCACCAGCCTACTCCTCCTGCCACTGCCTTCATGTGATGGCCATCTGAGCCTTGCTGGCCCAGCCAGCTTTATGTGGGCACCACTTGGAGACTTGCCTAAAAAACAGCTCTGTGCAAGAGTGCTGGAAACTGTAATCGACTCACAGGACTATTTGATATTGTCTTCCTCTTTTTTTCATGCTACCAGCAATATTTTTTTTGAGGGCCTTTTGAAACAGAAAGCATGTTGCTAGCATGTGAGAGAAGCCACAGTTTAGGTCCTCTATATTTAGAAAACCAGGATGTCATACCTCCCCTTGAAATTTTCATAGTCCACTGCACTCTACCCACCCACACACGTACACATGCTTTCGACTGGAAAATGTTTTTCAGTTTTAGCAAAGGGTGTTGGCTTAGGGGGATTCAAGGGAGGTGTAGAGGTACAACAGCAGTGCAGTCCCGAGCATGAAGCTCGAAGCCTCCTTAAGGCACAGGACGGCATGGCAGGCAGTGGGGACACACTGTTCTGGATAGGCTCAGGTGACCAAAATCAAGGATCTCTCCCATTGTCGGCCTGTAACATAAATCCCAAGGCAAGGCCAAGTTTTTCCGAGACTTATGGAAGCCTTCTGCTGTGTCATGTCAGGCAGCGCTGTACCCCCAGCTGACAACATCTTCCTGAGCCCAGTTTTAGGTGATCACGCACAGACTGTAGCACCTGTAGCAAGCGCTCCAAGAAGATGCATTTTGGTGCTAGTTCATCTCAGGTCTCTGCAGCCAGGTCTCTCCCAGGGGTGAGGCTGCTGACTCCTGTAATCACTTATCAGTAGTATTTGTCCTCTGCTAAATTGGCTCTGTAGTCAAATATTATAAATGATGATTGTGTCTACGAAGACCGGAGGACATTTTTCTTTTGGTTTCAGTACCTTGATTTCCGTGCCTTTGTTGAAACAAACAGTTGAAAGACTCACCAGAACTTCAAACGCTGGGGAAGGGATGGAGAGTTCTTTTTTATTTTTTTTTTTTTAAAAAGATATTTCATTTGTTACCATAATACTTTCCCACTCCACAAAGCCATCTTCTCATTAGAGTGTAGCCATTAAGGCTCAGTTACAGTGACTGACTACAGAGAGAGCATGGAGCTGAGGCCCACCAAAGCTCAAAATTACTCCCTGCTTCACCTGGGTGCACCCAGGTATTCCTGCCTGGCTCACGTGTCTGAGAGCCAGCTGCCAAATGCAAGCAGAAGACCAGCATGAGCTGGGAGAATAATCTGCAGAGGGTGATTTGAATACACGCCTTTCCTTCAGTCAGGTGTATTATGAATGACAAGTGCTGGGTTGAGCTCAAGTTATGGGAGATATAGACAATGACATAGATTAAGGCAGCCCTTGGCATTAAGAACCCTGATTGTCCTGGAAATGAGATACTTGAGCAAGGCAGGTTTTTAACCCCATTTCACTCTCTGTGGTTGCATAAAGAGAACCCTGTTTTTAAATGGCCTAAAGCTGAGCGAAGAGGGGTTTCTTCTTACTTCAGTGTGGCTTGTCTCTTTCACAAAAACCTAGGATGATCATCAGCTTTTGTCTGAACTGTCCTCCATTGGGCTGGATGGGAGCATCACTGCTGAAGCTGGAGCTGCGCACATGCAGGGGTGTGGAAACCACCCTCACATCTTTTTTGGGACATTTTCTTCCAGCCCCACAGCTGCCAGTGCTGGGACATGGAGGGCAGGGGCAGCCAGTGGCCCAGATCTTTAATGTGCCTGAGTCAACCAAGCCCTGCAGCTGTCCCTATTTACACTGGCTACTGGTCAACAGGAATTTGGTGGGGTACTTGTGGATCAATTGTGATGAAAACAACAGAAACCAGACATTTACACTTTCCCTTCCACCTTGCAAATCCAAGCAGGTGAGCAGCACGCACATGAGGGGAACCAAGGGGACTTGATGAAAAGCAAAAGTCTCCCTTCCTATTTCACTGCCCCAGCCTGTCAACACGCTGAGAAACTGAAACAGTAAGGAAAACAAACTACTAGATGTCAGGCACTCCAAATGTTTTAGGTTTCCATGATCCAAGGTGTTGTTAGCTCAGGAACGTGTAAAAGAGTGTATTTGTATGGGCTCCTCCCTGCTGGTCTGAATCTCCCTAACACCAGAGCGCTGCATCACATGGGGACCCAGACAGCCAGGCTTTCTGCTGATAGATTTTGCTGTCACCACAGGAGTTAAATTTTGTAGCCTAACAGGGCTAGGGGATGGGGAAGGGCAGTTTATGGGCTGTACTTATATATCCATATATATTCTGTTAAGGCTACTGTTCCCAGCTTCAGCATTTTTTTCTTGCATACAAAAGGAAATGCTAAGATCTCGGCTTGCAAAAGTCTGTGCTTCTGAATTAACAGGAGTTGCATCTCCACTTTATTTCTAATAGAGCTTTTCCACTTATTCCACTCAGGTTTCATTCAGGTTTGCTTCTCCATTTTCCAAAGTGGTGGGACTTTTTCTTGCACATCCTCCACCAGCCCTGAAAAAGTCACCAGGTCAGCAGGCTGCATGCAAACAGACCCTCCTTAGCCAGGGCGGGGGAGGCACAGTTTGCAAACTTGCTCGAGAGACTTCTGAGTTCTCCTCCAAACATATCAGTCACTGATTATGCTATTGTGCATAGCAAATTGTCAAAAAAATACAGAGAGCTAGTGCTTGAATATCACACAGGCTAATTGCCCAATAATAGGTGACAAGTGTATTTCATTAACCAAAGTGGCATGCGTGGCTATTGCACAGTGGGAACAGGCAGGCCCTGGCCCTGTGCTTCACACACAGGCCATGCTGCCACCAAAGTCCCTGGAAATTTCACCTGAATAAGGCTGGGGACTCAGCGGTGCTCTAGAGGTGTTGCACTGAGCAGGCGCAGCGTGGGGGAACATGCAGGATTGCTGGGTGTCGATGCTTAACCCCCATCCCAAGTGAAACTGACCAGTTTTGAAGGGGTTTGTAGGCAACAATGTGCCATACTGACCCATGGGTGAACCAATGCCATTCAGACATGGATAGCAAGGGTCTGTGTGGACAGCTGTACCTGTGCCCGTGTTGGCATGTGCACAGAGGGAGATGGGGAGGCACTACATAACATAAACTGTGTATGGACATACATAAAACTACACCAAAAACTGCTGTGGATGGGAAAGCCACAGCTTTATGTGGGTGCATGACCATGTGTGAGTGCAAAAAAGGCCTCAGTAGTGGCATGGCTTGACCTGGGAGGCTGCACGTCAAAATACCAAGCCTGGAGGCATGCTGCATTTAACGCTCACCTCCTCCCAAATTTATTGCAATATCCCACATTTCCAAACAAGCTGGGGCTCAGTGTCAGAGGCTCAGTGCCAGGGTTGCTTGCTCACCTATGCACAGCTTCAGGGCTGCAAATCCTCATCCCAGAAGGAAAAAAGCAGATAGAGTAGAAGAGAAATAAAGATTTGTTTGATTTGTTTTGGTCAGAGCATGGCACATCTTACTGTAAGGTTTTTCCCACTAAAAAGAATGTGTTGATTAGGGCTGGTATGGTGTTTGATGTTATTTATTTCTTTCAGTGGCTTTAAGGACCTGATTCAAGGCCACTGAAATGGATTAAAAACTTTGTGCTCAGTTCTGTGGCCTTGGATCATCCCATGTAGGAAATTAATTCTTACTTGCTTTTATCTGTGTGCTAACTAATATTTCCCATGTTTAATAGAAAGCATTATTAGACCTACTGCATCATGCTGGAAGCAGCACCAGCTATTAAAGAAGGTGGGTTGATTAACTGATAGCCTTCAAGACTACAAATAATTAGGGAAATAAGAGTCAATGCCATATGAAAGCAAACACAGAGTCAGTTGTTATCGTAAATATTTTCACATGATGGTCTGCT